AACGCGCCCTATAGTCCGGTGCGCCTTATGTGTGTGTTAAATACAGAAATGGGACACATAACTGAGAACGCGCCCTATAGTCCGGTGCGCCTTATGTGTGTGTTAAATACAGAAATGGGACACATAACTGAGAGTGCGCCTTTTAGTCCGGTGCGCCTTATGGTCGTGAAAATACGGTAATAGAAATGTCCCTGAAACGTATGAATGTAAATGAAAGGATTTGTTCTTTGTTTTTAGTTCATAGATACATATGGCATCAGATCTTCATTTATAGGAATACAAGTTAGAAAGTTACATCTTTGGAGCAATACAACTACAAACCCCAAATGTATAAATTAGCAAATACAAATCGTATTTGTATTCTTGAATTTGTGATTTTTTTTTATTTGTAAAATTGTGATTTCTACTTGTAATTTAGTTTTTCATACTAGTAGATTTATGATTGATTTTCAAAAATGTGCCTTGTACTTGTAGATATGTGTTTTCTGCTTGTAAATTTGTTTTTGGTATTTGTAAACTCATACGTTTGCTTCAAGGTTTTTTTTTTTTTTTTTACGATAATCTTACCGAGCTGATGGTCAGTCGTTAATCGAAGGACCTGTGCCACACGATGCTGCTCTATGTGTCTTGGCACTCGTCTGGGTGGGTGATTGTCAAGGAGAGGTCCTTGGGTTATTTTTTTATGTAGATCTGCATAAAGTAGATCACAACTGGAAATGGCTGTAAAAAGATGCATTTTTTGGGTTCTGTTTTTAGAAATGCTAATCAAAAACGTGATGCCTTTAAAAGTCAAATAATTAGTAAGTGAGTCATTTAATCTCACTTTTAATCCAGACGTTCCGTGAAGGTCTGTTAATATTTCTGGAGAACGTTAGAAAAGAGGCCGTTTTAGTAGAAACCCAGAGTGACCTTTCGTCTCCTTTCTCCCTGCAGCCGTCGTGGATCTAAACGGACGTTATTTTGGAGGTCGGGTCGTCAAGGCCTGCTTCTATAATCTGGACAAGTTTCGAGTTTTGAATCTCGGGGAGCAGGTGTGACGTGGATCCAGAGAAGCTGACCGAACACTAGCAACCCCCCACCCCCCCACCCCCAATGCTTCTCTCTTGTACATATATTGTTTTTTTTTTAATGAGCAACAGTGCATATGTTGTAATGGTGTTTTTCTCTCTCTTTCTGTGATGATTAAACACCTGTATGTCAACACAGAATAAACAGTCTGACAGAACCGGGTTTGGGTTCCTTTATCATTGTTTACATCAAGTAAGGGCAAAAGACTTTATTTCCTAGAAAACCAGCATCCCTGGATGGATTTCTGACATAATACCAAATTGTTTGATAACATGCCTCTGGGATCCAGGAGTCCTAACTTAGCCTCACTGGAGCGGAGGAAGGGGACTGGGACGGCGAACGCAGCCCCAGCCTCATTCAGAGCTTATGTAAGTGAGCCAGAGGGGCCCTGGAGGTTCTGGTTTGCAGCGTCGTAAGGCTTCCCTCTGGAGCCGGCTTAATTCAGATCAGGGAAACAAAGGATGACAGACCCATTTAAAAGCTCTCATCTTAGAGTACTACCAGCGTAGGTCAAAGGTCAGGACAAAGGATCGCTTTGTCACGATGAAATCTATATTTATATTGGACAAACATAAATAAGCAAAGTTACTTTCTGAACCGTTAATGGATTATAACTTTTTCTGGATCCAAATTTTTAGATTCTAATCAACAAATTCTTTTTTTTTTTTTTTCAAAGTTTCCATTTACGAAATGTTTTATTTGCTGTCAACAGTAATGGAACAAAATTCGCCCAATAGTTTTCAATGTCTTAGAAAATTAGAATAATGTTAGGGTTTTAGAAACTTGTGTTAAACCCTAATCCGCTTAATAAAAACCTGCAAAGGCCTCTAAATGGCCTCATTCTGCATCAGACTGCTGGTTGGTCACTGACATCCTCCACTAAAGGTTATAGTTATGACCTGGTTTTACTCTATTCAGACATATTCATAGAAAGTTAACTGGAATGAAAAAAAAAATGCTGGTTGCCTCTATGCTACATTGATGCTGCGATTCATACAAAATTATCCTCAACCACGAACTGAGTGCATAGAAATCAACTTTATTAGAGATGTTACTGAATAGAATACAATAGACAATCCCTTTATTGTCCCACAATGTGGAAATTCTGGTGTTACAGCAGTAAAAAGATTATAGAAAGAAATGGTCACACCAATGTGGACCTTAGAAAAATGTATAAGAATAACATAATAGTGAAGAGTTAAAAGATAAATTATAAAATACTGTTTTGTAAAGTGTTTTAACAATATAAATACTTTGCACCTGGAGAATAAATAACAAATATACAGCTGTGAACATTTTACAGTAATGGATATTTGAAAATAACATCAGAGATGTGCAAAATGGTTGTTGGGAACAGTGATGGTTATAGAGTCTTCCAGCTGCTGGGAGGAAGGATCTGTGATGACGCTCCCTGGTGCATTTAGGGGGCAGCAGTCTGTGGCTGAAGTAGCTCTCCAGTTCTGAACAGCTTCATGCATGTGGTTGAAGACATCCAACAGAGATGTTAATTTAGTTAGGATCTTTTTGTTTCCCACCTCCTGCACTGAGTCTAATGTATTTTAACTTACAGAGAGTGAATATTTGGTTTTCATTATATCAACTATAGTTTAACATAAAGAGAAATAATGTTCACTTTTTGTTTTATGAATTAGTACGTTTTAAGTAAAACTTTCTGAAAAGAGCAGCAGAGAATATTTAACCATTTCACAGTATTTTCATCATCATTTTTAGTCAAAGCTATGCTTAAAGTTTCCTAAAAGGTCAATTTCCATTCCTAAAAAACAAGACTACAGATCCCGGACCTCATGTTTGAAAATCCTCTGTGTCGAAATAAAAAATCTTTCAGGAAGAAGAATGAACTAAAGCAGAAGCTAAGATGGAAGATTCTTGGAAGCACCAATAGGAGCAAACATTAAAGCAGGACTTGGACTTTAAACAGGTCTACCTACAGTTATGGCTGAAACAATCAGATTAATCATGATTAATTAAATATTAAAGTAAGCCCTAACCAATTAATCGGAAGATGAAAATCTCTTTTTATCTTTAAAAATCCTCTTTCCAGAACGGCTCAGGAGGCAGTTTCAGACTCACGTGGATTAAATTGTGTATATAAACTCCTTTATGGCACCTGTGACTATGTGATTATTAATCAAAACCATAGCCAAGAGATTGACTGATTAGTGAAATACTCATTAGTTTTATGGATTCTAGAAAATGGGACCTGACCTACATATTGACACATATGACTTTCAACCAGCTAACTGGAAGAAATGCTGCTGTTTCAGGTGGCAATTAGTCAGCTAAAAGGCGTATTTTTTTTTTTTTTTGCAAAAGCTGCTCACTTGTATATCTGTTTTTATAGACCTGACTTTAAAGACTCATTATGTAGACGTGACTTTTAAACCCATTCATTAAAAAAACTATGTTTGGAGAACTGGTGTGATGGGGCCTGGTTTAACCTCTCAATCGCTGTATTTATGCACCAATATTTGTCTCCATCCACTCTACCATTTAATAACTGTGTTAGTACATTTGCAGTGATGGTAATGATAATTACCCGACCCGGCCTTTGTAGACCCTACATACACAGCAAATTTGGAAGTGTTATTTTAACTCCTATGAAGTTAAATTCAATACTTTCAAAGTGCCCATATTGGTCCGTACTGGATTGAGTTAAAACAACACTTTTGAACAACTGTGGGAAATTTGAAACAACACTCTTCATAGTTTAACCCTCTCCAGGCAGATGTTGCAGATTTGCAACAGCTAAATGCCACTTAGTTAATTACACCACATCCATATTTTAAGAGCTTTTGTTACTCAGAAGTACAACAGAAGGACTTAGTTGTGCATTTGCAACAAACAGTTTTTCTCCAGCTCACCAGATTGCACTGCTGACTCACTTTCAACATGGTTGAGTCCTTCGTGTCACTGAAACAGATTTTCTAAGCACCAATTTCATGTAAGTATTCAATTCAATTCAATTCAGTTTATTTCTATAGCGCCAATTCACAACACAAGTCATCTCAAGGCACTTTACAGTTCAATCAGATCATACAGTCAAACTGATTCAAAGTTTTCTATCCAAGGAAAACAAAGTGATTGCATTGACTCATTGACTCAAATACAATCCCTCACACTAAGCATGCTTGTAGCGACAGTGGAGAGGAAAAACTCCCTTTTAACATGAAGAAACCTCCAGCAGAACCAGGCTCAGTGTGAGCGGCCATCTAATGAGGCCAACTGGGGTTCAAGGAGACAGAAGGAGAGATACAGAAAGCAACTGTAAAAGGCGGCCCAGTCCAGGAAACACACAGTATCACTACCAATTTCCATTATTTTGAAATTAATACTACATAAAATTTAATCATGAATGTGTATAGATATGACACTTGCCAATTATTAGATTTTATCTCCTCTGGGTTTTCACTAGAGGCATCTCAATTTCAATGTTGTGGATTCGCAACGTGTACCCTAAAAGGGACCAATGGATGCTACATGCTTTATCTACTAGTTTGCCTATATCTTGAGCAACAGTTTAACAGAAAGGGCCTCCTCAATAGGTTTTGAGATGTCGGAGGAGAAAAAGTTTGAGAAAAAGTTGTCTCTAATTTTGTGAGAGAAAATTTTTAGTTTGTGACGTTCAAATAAAGTTAACGTTCATATAAGATTCAGTCTTCAGTGTTAATTTACCACTCCAGGCCACTGTTGCAAATCTGCAACATCCCAGAATTCATTGCATGTGAAGGTTTCTCTCAAAACAAAGTCTGAATTTTATATTACTACCCCATATGCTCGTTTTCTCCAAATATCAGATTTTTCCTGCAACTGCAACTTAATTTGAACCTGAGAGGGTTAATTTAAATATATTGAATGTATTTAACACTATAGTGTCAAAACTTAACACCACACGGCAGTGTTAACAACGGAGGATTTTTGGACAAATATCGCTGAGCGTCATCAGCATAGCTGGTTATAATCCAATGCTGTCGGATACATAGTAGCTGCAGCTGCCTTTGCTGCTGTACAGAGCTGCTACCGGATTCTCTCTGAACATTATCAGGACTTTACCAAAGCCCAATGAAACAATGACAGGGTCAGCATTTGAACTCGCGACACCCTAGTTGTAGGAAGAACTTCTAAAAAATTCTGGTCCCCTGACACCGTTATTAAACTTATAGGGTCACAGATAGGTTTACATTCTAGGAGAAACTCTGCTAATTGTTTAATGTTAAAATGAACCCTTGATTTAGTATTAATTTGAAAACTTGAAAATGTATTGAAAATTGTATTTAACATTAATATTCATGTATTTTAGTATATATTTTGGCCAGCATTTGATCAGCATTGATCATAATGATTGTAAAATATATCTATGTTAATCTTCAAGAATAGCTACTTTGAATAGTAATATATTGGGAAACAACTTGACGAAATCAGTGTGTGGAAATTATTAAATATACAGATTTAGTAATGGATCAACTCTGGAATTCCTCCTTTTCAGTTAGTTAATGTTTACATTCTTCCTCACATGCCTGACTGACTCAATCTGTGCTGCATTGTTTGTCCTTTTTCTGACTCATCCAGCCTTTGTTCAGGTGGTCGAGGGGAAAAAGTGTGTCACCCATAAACTCTATGGAATGGGAATAAATGGGCATGAGTCATTTCTCAGAAGAGCCTGATGAGAGTCCTGGAGGTTTCAAAGTTCAAGCTGATGCAATGCTAGAATTTCTGTGAGTAGAAGTGCAAAAAGTCATGCCTTCAAGGGTTGTTTTAACACAGGATGTAGTATGGCTCTTTACCCAGGGCAGCATAGCCAGGAGGGGGGTTACAAAAACAGTTATGCATCATTTGCCAGGATTATGTTTTTTGTTGCCTTTTTTAATTTTCTGTTTAATAGAGGGGCCAATTCTTGTGTACAAGACACTATTCATGATAGTGATGATGATAAGGTTGGTTAGTGTTTTTTTTTTTTTTTGGACCAAAAAGGCTCATCACAAGGAGTGATTTTTTTTCCTGGCATGGCATTAGCTTTTTTTTTTTAAAGAGGTGAGGGCTAGAGCACACATACAGTATATAGATCAGTGTATTTTACACTGCATTACAGATCTGAATCACAAGAATAAAAAGATAAATAACACATATAGATCACAATAAAGGAGCAGGGTACACAACTAATGATCAGAATCAGAAATACTTTAATAATCCCAAAGAGAAAATTACTTTTGTTACAAAAATAAGAATCAGAAGAGGCAGATATATTTTCCAATTCACAAAAGCAATTTGTTATGAGTTTTTCAGTTCAGTAACTGTTCCATTTTTCCCAGAGTCTCTCTCCTTTCTCCTTCCGGAGACACAGGGAGAAAGTCAATGTTTCCTTTTTGTGGATCCGGTGTGTAATGTTTATGAAGAATCTCAAGGTGTGTGTGTTGACTGGATCCAGCATTTGGTGATTTTCTTTCTGCTTGCAATCAAGAAATTATTTAGTAAATATGTGTCACTTGAACTTAGACCTTCAGGGAGTTTACCAAGGTACAAGGAGGTGAAAGAAAAGTCCAACACTGTTTCAGATATTATCTGCTTAACGTTGTGCCAAAAGACCTTTAATTTAGGACCAGAAAATATGCACATAATCTGCAGAAACCACCCCACACTCTCTCCAGCAGGGCACCACTTACCCTCGATTTCTGCTTTGGTGTAATAAATAAAACTGATAAGGCTCTTCCAGCCAAAATCCAGCCATTCTGTAGAGTTAGTAGCTAAATAAATGTGTTTTTCCACAGTTGAGACCAAACTTCCTCTGAGATTGTAATGTTGGCTTCCTTTTCCCACCACTGTCTGATATAATCTGTTGACCTCTTATTCTTAGGGAAATTTCGATAAATCTTGCCAATGATGCTTTTTGTATTAGTACCAGTGTATGCATCCATAAAGACCTGCATTATCCCTGGATTTAACACTAAGTCAGGGGTCATCATTTCCCTGCTAAAAAAACTTTGAAAAACATCTCCTCTTCTAATCCCATAAATCTTGCATAGATCCCTCAAATTTATTAAATGTCATTTTTTTTATTTTACAGAAGGAAGTAATTCCCTGTTTGGCTCAAAGCCTGAATTTATGGTCTAGACATGCTGGAAAAAAGGATGGGGTATTAGCTTTTGAAAAGAAAACACCAGAAACTCTGCTATTTGCATAGGAATTTAAAGTCTGTTCAAAACTTTTGCCATGTAGTGCTTTAATTAACACCATAAATATAATACAAAAATAAACATTTTATTGAGGAATGGGAATCACCTCGACTTTAAAATCTGACATAGACTGAAAAACTCCTAACTAAATTATTCTATTCCTACAAGAGAATAAAACATTTATGTTTGTAAAATAACAAAACACGTTTATGTTGTTTTAGTGTATAAAATATTATTTATATCAAATCCAGCATCAATATAAAAAAGTTAAAAATGAATTAGGCCAAAGCTGTGATCGCTGAAAATGATCTCAATTGTGAAAATTAAGGAATCAACATTAGATTCATGCAACAACCGGATATTGTGCCACACAAAAAATTTAATAATAATGATAAGAAAATTTCTAATAAATAATAAGTAATTTAGCTGTTTAAAACCAATTGCATCATCAGTGTGATATTTCTTTAGTTGAAAACCCAGATTTATACAAACAGATATACAAAGTGAACAAAACATCTATAAAAGATCATAGAGAAATGACTACTGAATGAGAAATAATGCAAGAAAATTATCCAAATGTACGAAAGAGGATTAGGGCCACTGAAAAAAAAGTTAACTGATTTTTAAATATTATTTCAGTTTAATATGGGGAAAAAATCAGAATTCTTACTTATTTCTCAGAATTCTGACTTTTTTCTTAGAATTCTGACTTTAATCTCAGAATTCTGACTTTTTTCTTTGAATTTTGACTTTAATCTCAGAATTCTGACTTTTTTTCTCCATATTCTGACTTTAATCTTAGAATTCTGACTTTTTTTCTTAGAATTTTGACTTTAATCTCAGAATTCTGACTGAATTCTGACAGCTAACAAACATGTTAGTATCAAGCTGCAGCCATGTCTGTTTTAGAGACTAGCTCTCTTGTTTTAATCACCTTCTGCTCTTCCATGAATGAAATAGCATCACTGGGGACCCCTCAGGCATGTAAAAAGTCGCATAATTCCATCATTTTCCCCCAATGTGTCACTGGCCCTCTCAAACAACTCACATCTTTGTCAGTAAAGCTGAGTGCTCCCACATCTCTTCCTTCATGATTCCCATCTATATTAAGATCCAAAATTCTGAGATTAAAGTCAGAACTCTGAGGGAAAAAGAATCTGAATTCTGAGATCAAAG